GACTCTGCAGAGTTCCTTTAGGGCAGCCTTCCCTTTAACAAACTCGCTGCTCCGGAGAGGGGCCCATGCTCCTCCCCCAGCAGCACAGGGGTAGAGGGGACGGATACTGGACCTCAGACAAAGTCACAAGGAGACCACTTTGGATTCATGTGGACCCTGGGCTGTACCCCCAACCTCTCTCCCTCCACTTAGAGGCCAGGAAGTCCCCCAGGCACATGGGTCTGCAGTCTCAGCCTGGGCTGCTGGCCTGGGCTGCGGTCCGAGGGCAGCAGCCAGCAGCCTTCAGCACCACAGCACTGCCAGTGGTGGGGCACACAGGAATGACATGGGTCACTGTGCCTGGCCCCAGGGGTAGAAGCCTGGGGCAGAGACTCAGTGGGGGGGCAGGCAGCAAGGGAGGAAAAGCCTGAGCAGGGGGGGCCTGGAGAGCACAGGAGCTGCCCAGGGCAGGCAGGTAGGGAAGAGCTGGGCGGGTCCATCTGCAGGGCACCACCCTCCCCTCTCTGAGTCTAAAACCAAAAGAAAGTTTGAACCAATGTGGTTTCCGCTCACATTTGAAAAGCACTGTCTCCAGCCTTTGTCTCATCACTAGAAGGCCGCCTGTGATTTCTGCTTCTCATGGGCACTTACCAGCTCTGGAGCCACACTGCCCCAGGGAGTGGACACAACGCAGGGGAAGATGGGGGAGGGAATCTCCGTCTGTGAGTTAACAGGCAAAGTAGGATGCTCCTTCTTCCCTCACAGCAGCTGCACCTCCGAGGCTCCCTAGGCTCTTGGGGTGGGGGTCTCCCTTGGCCCAGTGCTGACACCTGTCCTCTCGGGAGCTTCCAGTCTGCAGGGCTTGGAGGGTGGCACCTCCAACTTCAGCCCTGCTCATAGTTGCCCACCAGGAGGGGGTGCTGCTCCCTTCTGGTGTCAAGCTGGGGTGTCTAGGTCACTCCAGGAAGGGCCTTGGTGAGGGATGCTGCTCCCCTGTGAGAACGAAGGTGGATCCACAGGTAATGAGGTTACCAGGGTGGTGCTGTCTGACCTTTGCCCTCCATGCTCCCCTGGGGAGTTGGGCCTTCAATGGGATCTCCCACAAGAGTGGCCATCCTGGTGTCCATGGCACCATGCCCCTGCCATGACTTCCTGTGGGCTCAAAGGCCCTTGTCTTAGGTCGGGGTTCAGGGAATCCTCTGCAGAGCCTTTACCAAACCAAGTGGGAGAAGGAAGGAAAAATGCATGTTCTAGATCTTGGCTCACTTTCCAGGCTCATGGGTGTCCTCGGCACTCTTTCCATGCAGTCACTGCTTTGCAGGATTTTGGATTTTCCCCACCAGGAATTGGGATGGTGTATGTGTAGGGGTGTAAGGAGGGATGGGGGAGGGTAGAAGGACGTGTGCAAGGAGGGTGTGGGGGATGGGGAGGGGAAAAGAAATGAGAGGAAGGGAAAGAGGAGGGGAGGAGTGGGGGGAGGGGGGGTCCAAGTCAGGGTCTTGAATATGTGGGAGCAGATACCCACAGGGGATGCGGCTTTCAGTATTTACTACTCAGAGCACTGGAGAGACTGAGGCAAGTCAATGGTTTTTATCTACTCTCAGCAAATAGTCACCTACAGCCCTGGGCAAAGCACACATCATCAGACTTTTGAGAAATGCTGTGTGAGGGAGATTTCTACTGCTGCAGAAAAGCCACAGATGTTAACGTACATGAAACTGATGGAAAGGGAGAGCAAAGCACCCTGAGCAACAGCCTGGCGGGGCTGGCAAGAGCGCTCAGGAGACCACTCCCAGCTAGGAAGGCCAGTCCCAGCCGCTCGGAGGTGCTCCTAGGAGAAAATTGTAAAAATCAGAAACATCCTCCCCAAATCCCCAGCTCCCAGGGCATGGCCAGCAGAGATGCCAGGCTCCTGGGCTCTGCCTGTCCTGCAGATTATTTTAAGAATTCCAAAAACAAAGGGCACCTCTTCCCTGCAGATGCACCAGGAATCAAGAAAGTCAGGGGCCTCGGTGATTCTACTGCAGGCGCCAATGCCCCAGGGTGACAGATATGCCAGGCCCTCGGGACAAAGGTACCAGCTCAGAGCTCCCGTAACAGATGAAGGACAAGCTAGCCAATGTTGTGCTCACTGGAAACTTCCAAAGGTGCCATGAGATACCCATGTGCACCCCAAGAATGGCGACCATTCCTGGGTTTTGGGGTGGAGATGCCTCTGATGGCTTTGGGGTATCTGCAGCTTGTAAACTTGCAAACTGGTGAGATCATTGCGCCAGCAGGAGTTTATGATCTTTGGTTCCAAAGTTTCTCCTTGAAAGGATCCTGGGTGACAAAAAGGGAACTCCTCTGCCTCCCTGGCCGCTCAGGAGTCAAGTCTCACACTATTAAGCCATTACCAGCCACTACAGCACAGAGTAGATCCCCATCCTGGAGGTGGCACCCATGGCACAGCAGACCTCCCCTGACCTGCCCGCTGCTCCCCTCAGCAGTATACTTCATCGATCCGCCTGTTCTACTCCCCACTCTGTCTCTGGTGAATCCTCTCACTGCCCCTGCACCTCTGGCCTGTACCCCAGTTCTATATGCATAAATATTTAAAAAAAAAAAAAAAGGGAATACCTACCATATGAGCCAGTTCAGAGAGGGATAGCATAATAGCGTGGATCCTTGTGGTGCACTATTACTTACTGACATTAAAGCATGCCTTCAATTGCAGCACTTTATTTCTCCTCTTAACATTGCATGGCTGCTCATAACCAAGGGAAGGGCTATATAGAGAGAGTAGACGTGTTCGGCCAACTGTTAATACATGAAAAACTTTGAGGATAAATTTGTTGTCACTTAATAATTTCAACTACAAAGATTTTATATTTCCCTAAATTATTTCTCAGTCATGTGAGTGTCTTCATTTATAGGCTGGAAGCGACATTTCTTTTAAAGTGAAAGATGCCATTTAGGCACAGGGTGAACTGGTGATGGAAAGCCCACGGGGATTACAACTGAGATGGAAAAAGGCACAACATGATGTAAAAACAAACTGTTATATTAAAATGGAAAAAATGCCATTTAATACCTAAGTTTTACTATTATGAGACACAAAAAAACAATTTAATTGAATAAACGTGATCTGGAAATCAAGGGGGAAGAGAGAAGAAAAGCCACTGCTCACTTTGTTTGGAAGGTTGCTGCTGATGGGCAAGACAGCTGTCACTCAGGGCCGAATCCACCACACACAGGGCCGAAGGCTTTGCTACCCAGAGCCACCCGCACAGCTCAGAAACTAAGAAACAATGAGCCCGAGCTGACGTGGGCAATGTACGGCCTAAGGAGCCAGGCTTGCTGCCTCTGTGCCCTCGTCCCCGCACCCCCTCAACACACCACACCTGCTGTGAGCCTTGGCTTGAGGGCCCTCCAGTTCATCTTCGTCTACACACAAAAGTAACATTGCCCAAGCCCATGAACATCCATGACAGACGTCACCATTGCTCAGCCTGCAGAGGTTCTTGGCTGAGCAGAAGGGGAGCCTCGGGCATGCAAAGGCCCTAGGGCACCCTACTGATCAGCCAGTTGGGCGCTCCTGCCTAGACAGGGACTGGCTGTCAGCTAAAGTCCTGTTTAATCTAGGTGCTGGAATTAGTTCCAGAAGACAAGGAGAAAGCACGGCCACTGCCCTCCCGGCTCTTAGGGAGTCCCTAAGCTTTCCTTGCCTGCAGGCAGCTGAGTCCTTGGTTTGGTCCAGCTGTATCACTTCATCAATTGGTGTTCACAGGCACTGTTCACAGATGACAACACATGAAAGATCCCCAACGTTGACGGGAGCTGGCAAAGCCATCCTCCCGGCCCCATGTGAAAGGACATGCTAAAAAGGGGGCTGGGAGGGAGACAGAAGAAGCTTCCAGAAAGGGCAGGTGGGGCAAGGTACGCAAGGAGTACTGAAGGGCGCTCAGGACAAACAGCCACAGCAGGGGCACGTCAGGTGTGGGGCTCAGCCCACAAGTCACCTGTCCTGTCCTGTTCCCCTGCACGACCAGATCCGCCCCAAGGACTTAGGTAAGACAGGGCAGGGCAGGGCTGTAGAGCAAGCACAGGGGCTTCTAGCGGAGGATTCAGCTGACACAGGGCCCTTGGGGGAGGCCGAGGGCGCTGCCCCCGGGCGTGGGGCAGCTGAGCGACTGGGCTCCCACGGACATCCTTGCCCAGGGCCTGGCTGTGTGCCCACGACCAGTTCATCACTCTGGTCATGCTGGCAAGGATGCTATAAGCACCAAGTTAGAATATCATAAAACCTCTGCAAAATTAAATGGGACTGTTTTCTCTAGGTACGGGCACAGCTGTGACAAAGTGTGGACTTAGGACCAACAGCTGGTCCAGAACAGTCTGAGTTTCAGCACCAGAGATGCTGACAGGCCAGAGAAACACCCAAAGGCAGCATCCCAGAGGCCCCAGGGGCCAGGCTCTCCTTTCCATGGTTCCTGCAATGGACTGTGACCTTCAGCAGCACTGTGAGTAAAGGCCCAGTGCTTTTCAAACTTTGGGGTCCCCCTTTCTCTTCCAATTCCTAGCTGAATGTTGCAGAGAGAGATTCTTCTAAGAAGCTGTGCGTACAATCTTAGACACCCTCGTTAAGGCTTCCCACTGCAGTAGTTTTCTTAGCGTCAGGCGATATAGACATAACTCTGGAAAAGAAAAATATTTTGTGAAATATAAATTCATGGTATCTAGCTTGAAAAAAGACTTAGAAGTAGGGTCTCCTTGGGTGGTTTATATATTACAGGATTACTGATATACCGACTCAAATTCTGTCCACCTTTGCATTGAAAATATTCCCCTTGGCATCTGCTTCCAAAGAAGTGGGTCCTCTTTTCCTCTCAACTTACCTGGACACAGGGTTAGCAATGGGAGCGCCCGGGGGGTTTCCCAAGCTGGCTTGAAGCTGAGGTAGCTGCCTTGCCCAGCCTGAGGCTCCCAGTTGTGGCCTCTGCCTCCAGGAACCAGCGCTGGGCAGGATGGGGAGAGCGTCATGGAATCTGCCCTTGCTGAGGGCCGGTGGGGCCAGGGCAAAGGGCGTCAACTCAAAACTTGTTACCAACCGAATGCTGGAGTCGATTCCAAATGACTTTAACTTTGCCAAGGGGATGAGCAATAAACATTTTTTTGATACGGGCTGTTAGTGCTTATCTGCCTTGTGATTTAGATTTCTATTTTCTGTATAAGCAGTCTTGGAAACAACTATTAAAATCACTGTGCACAGAGGGAGAAAGTGTATGTGTACATAATGAAATGTTTTACGTTACAAAATAAATAACAAAAAGCAACAGCAACTTGTTTGTTCAACTTTGCCTTCCCTGTATTTTAAATATAAATATATATTTTTTAATTATGCATTTCGATTTTTCCCTAGATGTTTTTGAACATTCTCCATGAAGGCTCCAGTTACACACACAGAACCAAGAACCCCAGGTACCGACCACTCATGGCCCAGGCAGAGTCTCACAGAGCAGAGTCGTCTCCAGAGCTCTTACCGCTTGCTTAGTTTACAAAGATTTTTGTGATAGTTCTCAAAAGCTAAATATATTCCTCAAAAAATAATCTCATGATACCTGAATGTTTAGATAATAAAGTAGGATGTTTCTCTCAGTTAATATTTTTAATATTTCTCATGTAGAATATACTATATTTTTCCACCAAAATAACAATATATTTGAAGTCATAAACATGAGTTTTAAAGCACTTCTGAAATACCTTAGAGCAGAACTACTACTGTAGAAATACTTGTAATAAAATTAAAATCATTTTAAATTTTAATGAAGAATCGGGGGTACCAATTGCTTGGTTTTCCCCTTGGGGATCAGAATGTCCATCCACCATTCCAGAGCTTCCTTTTTGTATGTTTGGCCATGGGAAGGCCTATATCAGAATGCAATTTAACTTACTCCTCAGTAGGGCTTTTGCAATATCCTTAGGGGGATATTAGATAAAGTTCACTTAAGAACAGCCCTTTACCCACAAATTCTAGAAGGTTCCATTAAGTCTACTAGCTACTCATGTCTGCTTCTGGAGAACGTAATGAGCCACCTCTTAGTAGAATTTCCCAGATGGCTTATCCCAGAGGATCTATCCTCCTTGGAATATTCCATCTCGGCCTCATGGAATTTCAAGTTTCTCTATTTCTTGGAAATAAAACTCTCCACTAAGGAATGGACTTAGACCTCCAGGCTGCAAAGCAGAGAAATATAAAGGGGACATGGAGTTAAAGCAAACAAATCTCTAAAACATATAAACGCAAAGCTGATCCTGTCCCTGCTGGCCTCCTGGCTTTTGCTGGAGCTGCAGGTCCCAGGGTTCAGGGTTGGGCGGGTATCCTAGGACCGCCCCTTACAGTGAGAGTCAGGGGGTCTCCCTGGGGGTGCCAGCTGACGTAGCTGAGGGCCACTACTCGTCCTCCTGCCAGGGCGCCAGCTGAGCTGCTAAGTCTGATCTTTCTCTTGAACTTCTTGGAATCGCTTTTCCAGCCGATCCAGCTTGGCGAGGTTTTCCCGCAGTAGTTTGCTGTCTGGGACCAGCTGTAGGGCTCGCTCGTAGTAAGCTCTGGCTGAAGCGTAGTTGCCCTGCAGGGACAGAGAACAATTGCATCTGCCCCATCAGAAGGCCAGGAGCCAGGGGTGGGCAGGGAGACCCCCAGGCGGGGCGTGGGGTGGTCTTACAGGAAAACTTCTCCAGGTCAAGTCCTGGAGCCTGGCGCATCTGCCTGCTCTAAGGAGCCGGTGGGGGAGAGCGGGGGAGCTCCACTGTGAAACTGCCTTCCCTTTGCTGGGTGCAGCCGGAGGGGTTGCCGGGGCTCCTGTTTTCCCTGGGAGCCAGGATCCCAAAGTCACATTGGGAGGGAAGCTGGAAGGGAGAGGCCAACACCCTGGACGATCGAGATCAAGCCACGAGGAATCCGCCTCCCCAGCCAGCATAGGTGTTATTCTAGTCGACTTCAAACACAGAAACAATGTTCCCTTAAGACAACTTTTATGCAACAGGGCCCGTAACGATCCGAGTCTGATGTGCCCACTCTGAGGCATGCGTGACCCCAGGACCCTTGGGCCTCTCCCCAGCAGGTCACAGGTCACTGTGACCGTCCTTGTTCTGTGGCTCTGGCCGGTGCCACCATGCAGGTGCTGAGGGGGCGGGCGAGTGTCACTCCTTTACCCCCAGGGCTCCTCTGATCCCACATGTGCCTGTGTCCAGTCCAGACCGAGTCCTGCCAGAGCCCAGGACTCAAATGTCGGTGATCCCTCCAGCCCTGAAATCCTGCAGTCTCAACTTGGTTACAGCAGCAAGCAGGTGGGAAGAGACTTGACTTTCGCCACCATTTAGAGGGGTCTCTCTTACAGAGCAACTAGCAATGGACGGAATGGCCTCATGACCCCTTCCCAGGGACTGAGCGTGTCAAGGCTGGTGCTGGACGCCGGGAGCGCAACTCTGATGCTCCACCCAGGTCGGCAAGGACACCTGGTCCTCAGACCAGTCATCAGCCACACTGGGCAAGGACACTCTGTGAATCCAGTGCCGGCAAGTGGGCCAATGGGAGGGCTTCTGATTGTTGGCACCGATTCTGCTAAGTGGAGGAATCAAGTCCCAGTGAAAACCTAGACATGTCACGTTTAGTCATTCTATTTCTCAACGTAAGTGTCTATCTTCAGTCTCTATTGCTTAATAAAAATAAATTCTGCACGTGCACATGGACTACCGAGTGTCTGGGGTCTTCAGGGCTCCCGCTGGCTATATGCTTGGGCAGTGGAGAGACAAGAGATTTCAATCATCACAGAAAGTTCTAGCACATGGGCCTTTCTAGAAAATGCATATTCACGTCATAAGGTTACTCTTGACATGGCCTTGTTGAGGCGAATCCAGAACCTGATGATGGACTGATGGTCTTTTGGTCCATCCGTGTCACCCCGCGTGAACCACATGGACCAGCGTCTCTCATCACCAACCGGATGACCAGGAGCTGTGCCCTCCCCCTGCCACCTCCTGGCAAAGCCTGATGCCTACTCGGGCCCTCCCTCCAGCCCTCTGTCCTTCACCTGGCACTCCCTATGCCACTTCATCCTTTTTTTACATCTCCCTGCTCTTCGTCCATGAAGTCATTCCTGGTCCGTCTTCCGCTCACCCTGCACTAGGTCTCCTCTCTCTCTCGACCTCATTTACTGAGAGCTCCATATCCTGGTCCTGTTAGTTTACTGATAGTTTCAATCTCTTCTAGGAAGGGAGGACCCTCTCTTCTGCCGTGTCACTCTATTTCCAAACTTAGTTGCTCTTCTGAGTTTTCTTGTATCTGTTTTAGTTTCCTGATACAGTCCATCCTCTTAGACACTGATTCTGTGTCTCTAAGGAGTCTGCAGAATCACCCGCTGTCCCTCTGCTGGCGACCCTCAGGTGAAGGGACACTGCCCTGGACAAGCATTTTTTGTTTTAGAAGACTAGGCAGCATCCGTTCATCTGTGGACAGCAACCCCCACCTCACCGACTTTGCACCCCTGGCAGCTTTGGTCTGTCTTTTGCCTACTGAGTCACTAACGCTGCTGCTATGTGTCACCCCGAGGATGGAAGGGTGGCTGCCAGGTCCTGCGTGCTTGGGATTTGGGGGATCAGGCCAAGAGGTAGTCGGCAGAGGGCCCTGATTCACCGGACTTGCTCCGCGGGTTCCCCTCCCCTGGGGTATTCCTGAGACCAGTGGCTTCACTGCGGAACAGGAGTGTGGAGCTCTCTGCACCGCCCTCCTCACTGAGATCCTGGAAACCTCGGGTCAGGGTGTGGTCTCTGGGCTGTCCAAGCCTCCTCAGCCTCCAGCCCCAGGGGACCCATCTCAGACTCAGAAGCACCCAGATCCAAGGGACCCCTGCTGCTAGCAGGTGCTCAGCTGGAAGTTAAAGCAGGCGGTAAGGGAAGAGCCTTCGCCACCACAGTGCGGGCTTCCGAGTATTCCCTTTACCGAGACCTAACCTGACCTGCTGGATTTGCCCCCAGAGGCCCATCCTTCTCTCTTGCCTTTTTTCCCTTGCAGGCACTTACCGTTGTGCTTGTTAAGAGCTGCACTGCCATCACCGGAGGAGCACCTGGCCCGGGAAGTGCCGCAGACTTGCTTGAGAATGAATGAAGGCAAGGGGGTGGGGGGCGGCCAGAGTCCTAGATTACACTTGACAGACAACAGCCCCTCCCTCCAGGCAGCCTCCTTTTTTTCCACTGATGCATCCAAAGATAGCATGCTAGCACGGGCAGACACCCATGTCTTGCTGCTCCAATTACCAGAAGAGGAAATTAGCATCTGAGTCTTGATACCTAATGAGAAAAGCAGCTAGAGCAAGCCAGTCCCTGGCCTACCTGGATGTGCCGGATGCCGCCCATGTTCATCCAGGCCTGCGCTTGGTCGGGGTTCAGCTCCACCGCCGCCCTGTAGCTCTAAACACAAACAAGCAGCGTCAGGCTGGGGCCCACTTGAGGGCTACTACGAGGAGCACGGCCACTCCCAGCTTGAGGAGGCCTCATTTCTCCGACTGTTCAAAGAGCGGGATTCCGAGGGGGTGTGGGGAGGCGGCGGGAGGCGCTGGGCCTGCGGGGCCTGCGTGTGCTGAGGGCTGAGACGCCGGGACCCCATCCTGCTCGCTTTCCTCACCAGCCTTTCCACCTTTTCCACTGCCAGCTGAGGTTGTATTCTCTGTCGTGGGATCTGAGCGCTGCTTCTTGGACAGCAGAGCTCTAGCACCCCTCCGCAGCCTCACAGACAGGCCGCCCCTGAGCTCGTCCCCAGGCAGCCATGGGGAGCCCCCGCCCCTCAGGGCCCTCTCTGACTCAGGCACAGCTGTAAACATGAAAAAATTTCTTCTGTCATATAAATGCTTGAAGATCATTTCCCATCCTATCAATAAAATACCTTGGGGGGGGGCTGGAAAACATGTATCCTATGAAATATAATTGTCTGTGAGTATAGTCTTAATATCTTGCATGTGGTTTTGTTTTGAACACATGTTCACAGCTGAGTCTTAATTTGAACTGCGGTCGTGTGAAGGGAAGCCGAAGGCTGAGAGTGTTGCCTGTGAGCACAACATTAATACCTGCATATTTTAATATTCCTTGCTATTTTCACTAGCTAGAACCTGACTGAATAGATTCATAGCGTAAACAGAACTTGGTCCATCCCTTCTTGGGTTAGGAGAAACAAGCAAACAAATAAAAAACCAATTCTTATTAAAAAGTTGCTAAAATATGCCTGAAGGGGGTGTCTCAGCTTAATTCACAGCAGCAGAGATAGGACTGCAAGGGAAAATTCTAGAGCCTGGGTCCACATGCTCCAACGCTTAACCTCTGTGTGACCTTGAATAAGTTATAGAATCTCTGAATCTCAGTTTATTTAACTGTAAACAGGAGAAAAAGAGAACAGCTTTCTTAAATGAACGAGAAGACTGAGTCATGTCACGCTTTTGAGTCTACGCAAGTGTTGGCAGGTGGAAGTTATTAACTCCAGGGCCTCAGGGCTGCCTGGCATTATAAAGCTGGTCACTTTTACCATGACACCTGCACCCACTGCTGAAGCAAGGGGAAAATACTTCTGTCTTCACATACAGACCTAGGTACCATGGAAATCTTCATAATTATATTATGAATTAATAATTCAACTTGTTAGTTACAAAGAACCTGAAAATGAAATCAAAGAACCTGAAAATGAAATCATCAAAACTATTCACCAGGTGAAGACAAATGCATGTTTGCCTTCAGAGTGCTACCATTTCTGTTCTGAGGGTGCTCACTCAAATTTGTTCTTCCAAATATCTTTACACGTATTTTCCAATATTTTAACAGCACCTGCTATTTATTTTTAAAATCAGTTATGTTATTTGAAATTCTTCTTGGCTCACGACATGCATAGTATAAGGCTAAGATTTCACAAACTCAGCTATGGCTATACCACATACTAGGAAAAAGCTTCCTACTCACCTAACATTTCAGTCTGTTACATGGGGAGGGGAAGGAGGAAGAGGAAAGGAGAGAGCCAGACCTCTAACAATACGTTCAATGCCTGGGAGAGCTAGGAAGTATTTTAATAGTTCAGAGCAATTCACAAGAGCCAAGGCACGGAAATAATCCAGCCTCCATTGGCAGATGAGTGGACCAAGAAGATGTGCTGGACACACACAGTGGAATACTACCCTGCTACAAAAAAGGTGAACCCCTGCAATACCATTTTTGATAACATGGGTGGAATGAGAAGGTATTCTGTTCAGTGGAGTTAGTCAGATGAAGAAAGCCACATGTGATTTCATTCAGATGGCATACAAACAAATGGAAGAATTGAATAAAAAAAAAATAAACATCTGGACTCTAATTCCGATTAGTGGACACCAGAAAAGAAGGAGCAAGAGAGGTGGGCAAATCTGGAGAAAAGGGACAGGTGGGGAAAGATAGCACCGGATGTCTATGGGAGCAAAATGGGCTAGGCTGACTTTTAATGACGAGCCCCTGAAAGCTATGCAAAGTTACAATGCAATGTTACCAAGTTAGAAGAATTATTTAAGACAAAAAAAGAGTTGAAAGAAAACCCAGAAGAGCTTCTTGAGAAAGGAGGCCATGTTGGCAGATGGGGGGAAAGGAAGGGTGACAGGGTGTTGGGAGGTTTTTACCAGGACATGTGGGACATACAAGTTGAAAATGAGCACTAAGAACAGAATGCAGAGGGCTGTGGTCTCAAAAGCCACAGGCTCGTGACAAAAACCAAATGTAAACACCAGGACCAGGCCAGTGTCCTCAGACTTCACCGCCCTTGCATTTTTGGGGGGAGGTGTTATTTTAGTCCATGAATTCAGCACGCCAACTTTACTCAGTGTTTGTACCTCAAAAGCTCTGTCCAGAAGGTTCTGCTCTCTTAGTTGGTTTCCTTTTGTGAAAAAAAGCTCTGATTTGACTTTGGGGTCCTTTGGTTTCAGCTGGAGAGCCTTGTCTATAGCGTCCAGGGCCTGCACAGGTGGAAATTGAGACAGGGAAAACGCAGGTGAGATAAAGAACGAAGGTCAATTGATACTTCCCGCCCTCATGGTTCAGCTGGTATGATGAGCGACATCAAAACCCATGCTTGCTTTCCCTGAGAAATCTTGTAGCCCTGACGAGATCACCTCCCTGACGAGATTGTCTCCAGAACTTGACAAGGAGGTTGCAAGACCCAGCTGAAAGGAAGCAGACCTGGGTGGACAGCGCCTTGACTATGGGTCCTCTGACCACACCAGCAGCCTCTTTTCTGTTCCCTGAACCTATTGCCTACTTTTCTAGGCACAGAGCTCATCATATTCCTCTTCTCCTTAAAACCCCACAGCCTCTTCTGACACGGAGCAGAATCCTCTCCTGGTCCACAGCCCTAGGGTCTAGTTTCCAGCAACCTCTGCAGCCACCTCTATCTCTGTGCCCTGCCCCCTCATACAGGTCAGTTGTGACCCCAGGGCCTTTGCACATGCTATTAACCAATAACTCCTACTCATGACTCAGCCTTTGCCTTCACATCACTGTGCAGGGAAGGTGACTGCCACAGCACTCAGGCCTTCTGATTCTATGCTCTCTGGGGACCATGTCACTCTAGCTCTGCTGGTTTTGTGTTGATCTGTTTAATTTTCTCTCCTTTATTGGAAACCCCATGAGGGCCAGGGCATCTGTTTCTTTCCAAATCACTCGACTGTGGGCGCCTACACCAGTGACTGGCCCATGTTAGGCATTCAGTAACTATTTTGTTGATGTGGTTCATGAATTTCTGTGTATGTGACCTCTAAAACGGAGACAGACCCTCACAGCTGCAATACAAGGTTGCTGACCCGCCTGACGGGGCTGTTAGAGGGATTCCACGAGAAATGCACTTGAGAGTTTGTCTTTGCTCTCCAGAGAGTTAGCTGAACGCAGCTAACTGCTTTCGGAGTTCACATGAGATATCATGTGAAATCCACAGACCAAGGATGAGCCAAGAAAATAAGATATTAAGGGGCATCTCGGAGTTGAAGGGAGCTGTGAAAAGCATCACGAGATGGGCCATTCCCCCGCCGCGACGTTTCAGAATGCTCAACCTGGGAATGGGCAGACAGGAGAGGTGTGGGTACCCCACTTCCCACAGGGACAGCTGGGCAGATGCTACCTGGCTGTGCTGCTCGCTCTGGCTGTGCACGGCGGACAGCAGGCGGTAGCACTCGAGGCACTCGCTGTCCTCGGACACCATCTGCTGCGTCATCTTCTCGGCTTCCTGTGTCTGACCCATCACGGCCAGAACCTGGGCCTGAAAGCACAGTGGCCTCATTAGTGCCCTAGAGAATAAAGCCCACAGAGGGCGCAGGGACACGCCCCACAGGTGCCCCGATGAGCGGAGGACCATAGTTTATAGGCTTTATGTTTCTGCTGTTTGCTTCTTTGTTTACTGGTTGAGGGTTGCCAGCTTCTGGGTGTGAGGGTGGGAATGCTGAAGGTGGCCCTGGAAGTGACTGTGGTTTTTAAAAAGTATTGATGAAATAGATCAAAAGAGAAACTACTGCTTCTAGTACCAAAGTAACAATGACAAGTTTGTTACTTGGACTAAATTGAAGGAAGAGTAACAATCCCCAAATTCCTTAATTTCAGTTTGATATGGATATTGAAACTGAGATCAATTTTCCTAAATTCCGTGACGATCCTGTGGTGCTCAAATGCCTCTGTTCTTAGGAAATGACCTGCACACGCTCCCACTTCCATTCCAGGACATGCACATGTCCACATATGTCTCTGCACTCTCTCTCACACATACACACACCCTGAGGGAGAGATAGACAAATGCCCCAACAAGCACCATCACTGACGGAACAGGGCCAAGGCTTAAGGGAATCGTTCACTGTTCTTGCAAATTCTCTTAAGTTCTGAATGACGCGGGAACCAGTCAGTCAAAGTGCACCGCCCATCTGGGTGGTGGTGGGGCTGCTCCTGGGGTGGGCCCAGCCCAGCCACCCAGCTGCCCCTCGTCTCCAAGGCAGCAGTACCCTCTGCTGTTTGCAGTCACGCTGCTCCAGTCCTGGGAGTCCCCACTCACCAGCGCCAGGCGGAGCTCCCGCTGAGAAGGCTGAAGGGCCACAGCTTCCTGGTAGATCTGCAAGGCCTCCTCATAGCGGCCGGTGTTATAATACAGCGCTCCCAGGGGCGACAAGATCTCGGCTCTGCGGGCCACCTGCAGGGCGCTGTTTCAAGAAAGCACAGGGGACGCTTTGCTCTACTAGGTTCACTTGCGAAGGGTGACCCTGGGCTCTTGCAGGTGGCCTTGGTTGGAGACTGCTCCAGCGAGGTCTGTTTCTGCACCAAGAGCTGTGTTTTACACAGGTCATGGAGCCACACTGACGTCGGTAGGGCCCTACTGACCTTCCACCCTGGAAACTGGGTCCCAAGGGATGAAGACCACATCCTGATGCCCACACCATCTTTCCTGGGCGCCCCTTTTTACAGGTGCCCTTTGTGGTTTGGGGGTCATGGTCCAAGTCTCCTAAGACAATGGACTAGCTGAAGTGGGACTGAGATCCAGCCCCTCCCAGCCCAGGAGCTCACTGCATTGGGACGCCATTTGGAGGGTGGCCTCGCTATCTTAGGAGATGAGCATCTGTACTGCAATCTGGCAAACCCTGATGGTAATCGGAGGGCATGTCTGTGCCAATTAACCACAACTGGATGGGCAACGGCCTCGGGAGACCCACAGCATGCAGGAAAGGGGCGTTACCGTTTGTGCCATTCTTCAGCTGCGCTGTTGTCCCCCAGGGACCGGTAGAGTCGGCCCAGGTTGGCCATGGCCACGTGGTGACTCGGGCTGTGTTGGATGGCCTGCTGGTAGTGGGCCACGGCCTTCTCTGGAGAGCCTGTGCACAGGGGCGGCGGGCGGGAGCAGAGCACAAACACCTCAACCACAAAGCACACCCCTCACACTTCTCTCTGGTGTTGTCGAGACAGCCCCGAGGAGCCGCTGCAAAGCCAGCTGGCGCTGTACCGCTCCTCACCACAGCTTCCCACTCCCCTTTCACTATTTGTTCCCACTTCCAAGTAAACAAGAAAAAGAAAGCATCAAAGTCTATGTTTTTTTAAGTGGAAGTGTTTGCTGGCAGTTGCCCCGTGAATGTGATGTTTTGAGGATACTAGTAATGATTATTTATACAAGATAGTCTTGCTTCTCATTCCACAAAATACAAAAGGCTATTTCAGGGAGATTTCCAAGGGTCTATCTCAATATCTACTGCAGCGCAGCCTCGAGGCTCTGCTTTAAAGAGCTATCTGTCAGCTGCATTTGAGTCAGACATTTTTACTGAGAGTGGATTTGTTTGGCTGACTTTAAAAATTCATAAAGCCACCATGCATCTATGGAAAGGCAATAAATAACAAAAACACTTTCATTAAAAGAGCTTTTAATCGGTGCAGCTACTTTCGGCGTCACTTGCCTTTTGACGCCACTAAGTTTTCTCCTGGGATTTAAAACATACTAAAAACGGGACTTGCCAGACTCTGTGAGGGAAGAGACTCACACAGAGGCCGAGAAGCACAGACACCCAGTGACCTGTGGGGTGAGGGGCCATAACTAGGGTTCTTAGGAAGCTGATGATGACTGATTACTCGCCCCTGCCTGCCAGTCTCAGTGGCACGGTGGCCCTGCACTTAATGCCACTGGTGCTTCTGCACAGTCCCAAAAGCAAACAAGGAGAAAGGAAAATGTGCATGGTCAAGCAAACCCTCCAGGAAACAACACGTACACAAAGAAAATCAGCCACTGGAATCCAACAAAACTGTTGTGGGAGAAGTCCTCTGCCTGATAGATAGAGAACTCGGAATCACCACAATTAAAAAACTGAAAGAAGAAAAGGAAAATAATGACATGGGAGATGGGTCAACAAACTGAGGAATGAGAATGAATCTTTAAATAAGAAAATAAAGGAATTATAGGATATTAAAAGATTAACCAAGGAGCTAAAGAATTCTGGGAGAATCCTTGAAAATAGAACAGATGGAAAGGAAGGATGGATCAGTACTCCCAAAGATACAGATATAAAAATAGCCAAAAGAGGCCCTCTGTGGTGGCACAATGGACTAAAGTGCAGCCTTACAAAGCTCATCACAGCCACTTCGTCACGAGTTCGATCCCTGGCCAGGGAAGTGACCCATGGGGCGCAGCAGACCTCTCCTGGCTCCTCACTCCTCCCCTCAGCAGTGTACTTCATCAGTCTGCCTGTTCAGCTCCCCACTCTGACTCTGGTGAATCCTCTCACCAACCTGCACCTCTGGCCTGTACCCCAGTTCTGTATGCATATATAAATAAATCTTTTTTAAAAATAAAAATAACCAAATGATAAAAGGATAGAGAGGGACAAAGGAAAAACAATGAAGTAACACTGAGAATTATCTGACACCATGAGGAAAGGAAACACAAGAGTCACTGGAATCCCAGAAGGAGAAGAGAACAACAGGGAACTTAGAAACTACTCAAGGAAATAATGGAAAAGAATTTCCCAAACATGAAGAAAGAAATGGAAATAGACACATAGTAAGATGGAAGAACTCAAAACTGACATAATGAAAAGAGAACTACAGCAAGACACATAATACTAAAGTTTCCAAGGGTCCAAACAAGACAAAGAAAAAAAAAATAACAAAGTTGATGAGGGAAAAGAGATAAGGTATAAAGGAAAAAGAATCAGGCTGACATCAGAGTTCTCTGAAGGAACACTATAGTCAAGGAAATAGAGCAACATATTAAAAAACTCAAGACAAAACATGCCAGCCAATACTACTTTATCCTGCAAATCTCTCCACCTATGGGAGAAAAAAAGGGCTTCTCAGACATACAAAATATTTAAAAATTCACTACGAAACTCCCACTCCAAGAAATAGTGCAAGAACCCTTAAAATCTAAACCAACAGAGGAAATTAACTGAAAGAAGTGAACAAGGAAATGACACACACAAACAAATTGGCAATGACAGACAATGTATCAGTAATCACCCTAGAAGTAAATGGGGGTCTCCCCGGTGGTGCAGCAGGTTAAGAAGCTAAAGCCATTTCTGCATGAGTTCAATCCCTGCCCTGGAGCTGACCCAGATGGTGCGGCAGACCTCTCCTGGCCCGCCCGCTGCTCCCCTCAGCAGTGTACTTCGTCAGTCGGCCTGTTCTGCTCCCCGCTCTGTCTCTGGTGAATCCTCTCACCGCCCCTGCACCTCTGGCTTGTACCCTAGTTCTGTATGCACAAATAAATAAATAAATCTTTAAAAAATAAGAAAAGTAAGTGGACTAGATTCACCAATGAAAAGACAGAGTAGCAGGTTGGATGAGGTAACAGAATCAAACTTTCTGCTGACTCCAGGAAACATACCTATGTGCCAAAGATAAACAAAGGTTAAAGTGAGGGGCTGGAAAACAATTCTACAAGAAAATGGCCCCCCAAAGAAGGCAGGGGCAGCATACTTGAATCAGGTAAAATAGGTTTCAATCTAAAAAATGACAAGAGACACTGAAGGACATTATAAATGGCCAAGGGGACAATACACCAGGAAGTTAAAACATTCATCAATATATATGCACCAAGACACGTCACACAATTCCTTTCAAATCTGAAAACAGACACGTATTAGGAGACTTTAACACCCCACTCTCACCAATGGATAGATCAATGAGACAAAAACAAACAAGGGCACAACAGCCCTAAACAAAGACCTAGAACACATGAGCCTGACAGGCAGCTAGAGGACAGTGCGCCACAAAAAACCTGCATACACCTTTTTCTCAAATACACGTCAGTCATTCTCCAGGGTTGATCACATACGGGGACGCAAGACAGACATCAGCAAGCACATGAAGATCAGAATCACTCCAACTATTTTCTCTGCTCATGAAGTCATCAAACTAGAAATAAATAATGGAAAGAAACCGAGGCGCCTCCTCCCCACCCCTTACATGCGGACTGAAGAACATGCTACTGAAAGACCACTGGATCGATGAGGACACCAAAGAGGAAATTAAGAAATACACTGAGACAAATGCCAATGAGAACACAACTTTCCAGGATGTATAGGACACAGGAAAAGCAGGAAGAAAAAGAAAGTACATAGCAATACAGGCCCACATTAAACAAACAAACAAAAATAACTCACTAATTTCCCATCTCAAAGAACCCAAAAAAGAATAAAAAACCCCCAAAAGTCAGTAGAAGGAAATAATAAAAATTCAAGTGGAAATCAGTGAAATAGAAATTAAAAAGACAATCCAAAAGCTCAATGAAACCAAAAGCTGGTTCTTTGAAAAAATAAAATAGACAAATCTCTAGTGAGGCTCACAAATAAAGGAGAAAATTCAAATAAATAGAATAATAAATAAAAGAGGAGAAATTACAACAGACTCAAGAAGAAATCCAGAGGATAATCAAAGATTATTATAAGCATTTATATGAAAACACAATTAAAATCTAGATGAGACAAATTCTTAGAGTTATATGATCACCAAAAAAAAAAAAAAAAAAAAAAAAAAGCTGAACAAAGAAACAGAAAACTTAAACAAACCAAGGAGAAGCAGTAAAATTGAAAGAGTAATCAAAACTCGTCCCCAAAACAAAAGCCCAGGATCAGATAGTTCCACAAATGAGTTCTAGCAAACGTTCAAAGATGAACTATTCTACAAATAATTGAGAAAGAAAACTACTAAATACATTTTGCTAGCCCAACATTATACTAATGCCAAAACCAAACAAAGACAACACAAAAGAAAACTACAGAACAATCTCCCTCATAAACACAGATGCAAAAATCCTCAATAAAATTTCAGCAACTTGAATCCAATAATGCACAACCAAATGGGATTCATCCTAGGGATACAAGGATGGTTAAGCACCCAAAAATCAATTACTATAATTCACCATATCAACCAAAAGAAAAATAAAGACCATATGAAGAATTGATAGATACTAAAAAAGCATTTGCTAAAGTGCAGCATTTGATAAAAGTCCTGAAATACATGAGATAAAAGCAACGTATCTTAACATAGTAGAAGCCGTATGCAGCAAACCCACAGCCGATATCATTCTCAGTGGTAAAAAACTGAAAGCCTCCCCATTAAGATCTGGAGCAAGACAAGGATGTTCTCTTACCACTGACTTTCAATATAGTACTGGAGGTTCTAGCAACAGCTTTTAGGCAAAAGAAAGACATAAGAGGCAAGAGAAAGACATGAAAGGAATTCAGATAGGTAAAGAAGTAAAAATATCATTATTTTCAAATGATACATGTTATATATATATGTACATGTATATATATAAAACACAATATAGAGAGAGAACCCTAAAAATTCCACAGAAAAACTAAAACAATAAACCAGTTCAGTAAAGTAGCAGGGTACAAGACCAATACACAGAAATCAATAGCTTTCCTACACACAATCAATCTCAAGAGTAAGAAATTAAGAAAACCAGTCCACTAGTAATTGTACCCCAAAATTAAATATCGGGGAATAAACCTAATAAAGGAAGTGGAAGACCTATACAAAGAAAACTATAAGACATTGTTAAAAGAAATAAAAGACACAGAGAAGTGAAAAGATGTTCCCTGCCCATGGATGGACAGAATTTACATGATCAAAACAGCCAACCTGCCAAAAGCAATTTACAGATTCAATGCGACTCCAAGAAAAATCTCAGTGGCATTCTTCAAAGAAATGGAACAAATATTGTTGATGTTCATATGCAACCACAAAAAAATCCTCATAAAGCCAAAGGTCTCCTGAGTAAAATGAAGGAAAATGGAGGTACCACTCCTATATTTCAAACAATACTACAAAGTCATAATGATAAAAACAGCATCATACTGGAACAAAAACTCAGACCAATGGAATCAAGTTGAAAACACAGAAACAAAGCCATACATGCATGGTCAACTAACCTGTGACAAAGGAGCTGTTCACAAAAACATGGGTGGATCTGGAAGGCATGAGGCTCAATGAAATCAAAAGGAAAAAGAAAAATATTGGGTAGTCTCTTTGATAAGGAGGATAAAGGGCCAAAATGGACAGAACTTGTAGGCCAAATGTACAACTAAGGCTTCCAGCAGGGGAGAGGGGAGGACAGGGGTCAAAAGAGGGGAGCAAAGAGCCCAAGAGACGCTGGTGATGAGAGAATTATGGGGACTGCACCCGAAGGCAGAACTGAAATGCTGTAAAAAACCGAAATGATGTTAAAAAATATATATATTAAAAATGAACAGCATCACCACTTTGTATCTGCAGACTGCGGAATACCAAAAAGTTGGAGCCAGAACAAAGATGGTAACAGGGGTAAAGATGGAATCAGAAAAGAAATCTGTCTAGACTGATGAGATCTCCCTGAAGCTTCATCATGAGTTTATATCTCACTGACTAAAGTAGAGAGTTCTGAACACAGCGAAAGGTTGATTAGTGGCTCTGGTATCTTCTTAAATGCACTACCTTTGAACGCTGATTGTAATCGGAGCCCACACAGACACTAGAGTCTAGGTACAGACCTAAGGTGAGGCTTTTAGGGAGCGTTCCACCAAATGGAAAAACACAGCCCTAGATAGGGTGAAAGAAACTCTCCAGTGTGGGCAGTGAGAGCGCAAGGGATGGGGCGAGGGCAGGACGGTTGCTCAAGCAGCCTGGAGAGGCGAGACGGAGCTCCTTCCTCCATTCTTAGAGCTTTGAGCCCTAACTCAAGGCGATGCTGCCTCGTAACCAGCAGGTGGCGCTACAGAACAAGTTTCCGTGCAGAAGCCCAGAGCGCTCCCCAGCTCATCGCAGCGCAAAAGCGCATCCCGAGACGCAAGAGCTGCGAGTGTCCACCCTCTCAGCATTTTGTATTGGCAAAGTAATTACAAGAAGGGTCACTGCAGGGCGGGTGGTCTAACAGTCAACCACAGCAAAGGATGCTTTGCATTAAATTCCAACAGCTTTGCAGTCTGCGTTCCCAGCATGCCTGCAGGGAGGGATGCCGGTCTGTAGGGAAACTCACTGCCCAGGAAGGCTGGCATTAAGTGGGGGTCAAGTGGCGTGACTAGGCAGCACGCGTCAGTAAGAGGCCCTTGGGTGTGACCACACAGCTTCTGCACTGGCCCTGGTAGCAGGAAGGAGGAGACAGTCCCAGAATTTTTTCTCTGTTAAGTCTTAGAGCAGCATCTACCATGTCATAGCGGGGAAACGTGGCCACCATGATTTACACAGCCCTGTAGATGGTGCTGCAGAAGACTGTCCCCCACTAAATCCTGGAGGTTTCTTCCTGCCTTGCAGGGAGACCTAGGAGTGCCTAGAAGATGGGCTACATGTTTCACTGGACTGCACTTGGGGCACTAGCAAAACAGGCCCCCAAAGTGTTGTCAGTAGCTCTGCCTGCCCCCTGAGTGCCTTTTGCTTCAGAGGCTTCACTGGGGTGTTGTCGCTTTGCCTGAAAGCTCCCATTCTCTTAGCAGGGCAGACCCCCCACGCACCCCGCTTACCAGTGTCCACCAAGAAGACCCCGTAGTTGTTGTGTAAGTCTGAGCTGTCTGGACAGTTCTTTATTCCAGCCTGGTAGATTTCCTCAGCTTCCTGAAATCGCTCCTTTAAAAAAGAACAAAGAAAGCAAATAAGAAAGTCAAACACCCCAACAATGGTCACCTGCATAAAGGAAGTGCAAGAGGCAGATTGACCCAGCACCTCGTAGGAGCCGGCATAAGACTAGACGTGATGCGTCTGGTCTGAATTCAAAGCAGCGCCGAGGATGTGTACCTACAAGCCACATCGTGTTTAGTTTCTTCAGCTGATGTCTACTAAGGGGCACTGGGAAGGACTTGCCTTATGGGAGGGAAATGTTTGAACCGGATGCCCTACCACAGTGACTCTCTGGAAGATGAGGAGTCTCACTGGAGACAGGCAGGGCTGGAGTATCTCTTCAGCAGTGTTCAGCAGAGTATCTCTTCAGTGCTCTTTTTACCTACACTGACGGTTTATTGGGAGGCTTTTCAGGGAGGTGGGGAAGAGACTGATGTAGATTAAGCTTTCTTTTTTGAGGATTCTTCGTATAAATGAGATCACAGAGTACAGTCATCTTTCCCTGACATTTTTTAAAATTGTATTATTTATTCATGCATAAAGGACTGGGTGCAGGCCTGAGGTACAGGGGCAGTGAAAGGATTCACCAGAGACAGAGTGGGGAGCAGAACAGGACTGACTGGAATACACAGCTGAGGGGAGCAGCGGGCTGGACAGCAGCAATTTGCTGCGCCACATGGATCAGCTCCTTTGCCAGGGATTGAACTCGTGCAGCAGTGGTTGCAGATAGCTTCAAAGTGCTGCGCTTTAATCTGCTGCACCAGATTAGGATGGCCCTTTCTCTGACTTTCTTCACTAGCACAAAGCCTCTAGGTCTGTCCCTGTTGTTGAAGACATCTCGCTTTCCTGCCTTTTTTTTTTTTTTTTTAAGATTTATTTATTTGTGCATAGAGAACTGGGGTACAGGCCAGAGATCCAGGGGTGGTGAGATGATTCACCAGAGACAGAGTGGGGAGCAGAACGGGCAGATCGATGAAGTGCACTGCTGAGGGGAGCAGCGGGCGGGTCAGGAGAGGTCTGCCGCACCATGTGGGTCACCTCTAGGGCGGGTAGGGTTGGAACTCATGCTGAAATGGCTTTAGCTTCTTAGTGCTGTGCTTTACCCTGCTGAGCCACCAGGAAGGGCCCGCTTTCCTGCTTTTTAATGGCCAAATCATAGTCCATTGTATATTCACACCACAGCCGTCAACGGACACTGGTGGCTTGCAGATGCTCTAAGTCACATTACGGTGTGCCTTGGCCTTTCTGTGTGTAAAGTATCTGTGTGTAAACTGCTCCTTCTCTTGTCTAACCTGTGCTTTCCATTTCTAAGCTGTTCTCTCCAACAGGAAAGTACGTTCCCTCAGAGGAACACCTGCAACTCCGCCGTTGGTGGCAAAGCCCGGGTCAGCTGCCCACCTCTGTAGGTCAGTTTCTGATTGCCCTAGACAATCCTGAGCTGCTCATCACACTGCACTTCCCTCTATACCAGGGAGGGTAACACCTAAATCAGTGAATCAAGGTGACCCAGGTCCTAACAGTGACCCAACAGCCAACAATCCCAGGGTGTCCTGGTCCTGCAGGGAAGAGATTGTGAACAGAAACAACAGGGCCACAGCACCGGGCAACTTTCCTATTAATAAGCTAAGACTAGACTTGGTTCGCAACTTGGTCACAAGTCACCACTGCTAAGCGTTCACCCACACACACTGTGACGGCAATTTCCCAGAGAAGTCAGACAGCACTCAGAGAGATCTAACTGTCACACTGGTGGGCTCGGCAGGATCAGTCCCCAAAGTGTGAGCACCCAAGAGCAGGAATGTCAAGGCTTTAAATAGGTTGGATGAGGACAGTTGATGCCCCACCCATCATCAACTTTCTTTATTGTTTGGGAAGGGTCACGGCAGCCAAGCTAGGACTGCGGACAAGCAGCACCCCCCAGGAGCTTTCCCCTCCAGCAAGCAGCAGGATCCAAACAACTGGCTGCAAGCAGCAGACTCAGCGACGTCCTGCTTCACCATGACACAGGTCTTGTGCGGCTTCGATTTTCTCAGATATGACACTGTCGGCTCCGGGACAGAGATGCTGTGACTGCTGAGCAGCGAGCCCCGGCCCACAGTGGGCTCAACCCAGAAGGTGAAGACATGACCCTCCGTGGAAGCGCCGGTGGCAACTCTTCAAATCCACAAATTTAAGTACCATTTATGGAACAAAATATGCCCTGAGTCTGGCAAATTCCACTTACTTGCGTAAAGCCAGCAGAAATAAAGAACCAAAGAACCAGAGAGCAAATCATAACCTCAAGAAAGGAAACGATGAATGAAAAAAAAAAAAAAATCTCCAACTATCTTCTTTTGCTCTATGGAAGAGCAAGAGCAAGAGTGATGCATGAAGAAGCCACCACGGGAGGACTGTGTGTGTGTGTACGCGTGTGTGTGTGTGTGCGCACGCGTGTGTGTGTGTGCGCGTGCATGTGTGTGTTGCGACAGGCAGAACACGAATCAGGTGAGACTCCCATCCAAGGATCACAGAGGCCCGTGGCGGCCGACTCACCTCTTCCCGCAGCACCCAGAGGCGGTGTGGTGCTGTGATGGAAGTGCTTGACCACCGGGTTGGGACACCCCACTTCCACTCTGTGCCCAGGTGCACCCGTAAGAGTCATGGAGGTAGAGACACCTCCCTGTGGGGTTACCTCACAGGGTCCTGGGCAGTAAACGGGTTAAAACACACGAAACTCTTACAATGCCCAGCACGCAGCGCTTTGGCAGGTGAGTCGTATCCGTATTACCCCGCTGATAACAAGGAACAGTGAGTGTCACTACCCAGGCCGCCTGAGGGTGACGGCAAAGGCATGGAGATGACACAGCTCAGAACTGATGGTTACAGAGCTCCAAGGCGCACAAAGTAACAACACGGCCTGCCGGGAGGGAGGGGGGTCCCCCAGACAGCCGGGAGCGGGGGGGGGGTCCCACAGGTGAGCAGAGGCTCAGCGCCAAGCTCCCAGCTCCTGCCTTGCAGTTGTGCAGGCAGCCCCGTGCGTGAGGGCTCCACTCCCGTCTTTTGGGTTTTCCCTTCCCTTCTGTATGTGTCATCTTCTGACACAGAGGTCAATGAAGCTTTAGTACCTTAGAGGTCACAAGAGAAAGAATAACCTGGCTAACCCCCAGCTGGGTAATCAGACCCTGAAATCCCGAGCTCCTGATGTTACCAACTGGCTGGTGCTAGCATTTGACACCGATGGCCATCTTTGTTTCGAAAGGATCTAATTGTCTGTTTCACATAGTATCTATAAAGCACAGCAACACAACTGAGGAAAAATAAAAATTAAACACTCATTAAAGACACAGTGGGTGACATTTTTTAACACAGGAAATAAAAGAATATGTGAGCTGGGAGGAACATTAATAATTAATACTTAATTAATAATTAATTTCCATCATTTCTTTTTTTCTTTTACTTTTGCATTGAACTGAGGTGTAAGCCTGAGGTACAAGGGTGAGAGGATTCACTAGAGACAGAGTGGGGAGCAGAACAGGAGAATCTACTGCTGAGGGGAGCAGCAGACAAGACAGGAGAGGTCTGCTGCACCATATGGGTCAGCTCCCTGGCCAGGGTGGTGATAGTGCTGAGACTTAAGCCCTAGGCCACCAGGGAGGTCCTGAGAGCTTTCTTCTGGAGCCTTCTATGTACCTAACTTTGATGACACCTCACCTCCTGGGTTACCTCTATCTTTCTCTTCTTCCATACCTCGCCTCACTCAGGATGGTCCATCACCACAGGGCAGGCCTGGGACCCAGCATCACCAGGGAAGTAGCAGAGTGACCAGCTTCTGGCCCTGCCTTTGTGACTGGTGGGCACTGGCCCTCTGCTCTCTGCATCTCACACTTTCAACTATCCAATGAGAAGGTCAAATAATTCCTCGTCTCCTCCCAGCCCCCCAACACTATTCATCATCTTCTCCTCAGTAAAATGACCTTGTTGTCACTTGAATTCCTTATTGGAGGCTCTTTGCAGCCCTGGTCTCCTCCTTGCTGTGTCCACATGCCATTTCCTGTGCCTCTCCCACTACCACAGGGGGCTGAGAGTGGCAGATGACACATTATCACTCTTCTGGGGAGCGACTGAGGGGTTTAGCTGGAGAGCCGTGAAAGATGCCGAAGCTCTTTGAGATGGGGGATTGCCCTCTAGCACTGGGACACAATTCAAACAGCACCCTGGGCCCTGCAGTGTGGACTGTGGGGTAAGACTGGCGTTTCTCCACTGCAACCTAAGCAGCATGAACTGTTAGGAAAAGGGTGGAGGGTTTACTCATCCTTGGCACAAGCTGCTGCCCTGGGGCACAGACCGGGTTAGAAGGTCCAATCTGGAGGGGTCAAGAAGGGGATAATAGGCAGAGCCGGAGCCATTTGAGGACAAGCCCAGACTTGTACTGGGAACCTGCCCTGAAGAGAAGCCGCTTCTGGCAGCTGATCTCTAGAAACAGGAGTCTTGCAGGGACCGAGGCTGGGCCTGCCTCTGGCCTCGTGGCCGCAGTCACCAAGAGGGCACAGAAGGGTCTGGTGTCTCACTGAGCCGCTGATACGCTCGTGTGGCATGGGCTTCTTGGCGCTGCTGCGTCTGCTGTACCTGGCCAGCATCGGGTTGTCCACCCCGACTGTTTCCACACTTCCCATGATGCTTTCTATGACTTGCGTAATGAAAGAGACGCTGGTGGCTCTCAGGTGCTCCTCCCTCATCAGCTTTCCCTCGTGGCCCTGCAGAGCCTCGGGGGTCCTTGGCCCTTTGGGTGCTGTACCCCGGAGTTCTTAACATCCTTTTTTCTTTTCCCATCAGCCTTATGTGCAGACAGGCCCTGTATACCGAGGGAATCTCTTTCCACAGCCTTCTAGAGGGTCTCATGCTGGCTTCCTGAAACAAGGCTGTTCCCCACCATACAGGTCTTGTCAGAGAGGGCTGGGAGGGGTCATCATGCAGTGGTCAGGCCCAGCGGGGGCTCAGGCCTCCTCCTGAACAGAGTTGCCACCTCTGTCCTGCAAGTGTGACCAAGTGGCTCACGACACCTGCAGACCAGACACGAGCCAGCCAGATGGCACTATGATTCATCAAATTAAGCAGCTGAAAACTGCGCCCCAGGAGACTGGGGTCCAGTTGAGGTCAGTCTGCAGAGAAGATTCTGCAGCTCTCACAGGCTGTTCTCCTGTGACTGACTGCTCATGTCCTATCAAAAATATAAATAAGCACTTCATAATTAGTCTCACTACTTTGCCAAGTAAAATATCTGTAAAGGGCAGTTCATACCATGAGTGGCAGTGGAAAAAGACTAAAAATGTCTTAAACATCTGCAATTTCAGGCTTATAGAAAGGAGAGGTCATGTACAGAGAAAGATGAGCCCTTTATCTTCATAAGTGAGGAGGATCATGGTCTCATTCTGGTTTGTCTTTCTTAAAAACTGACTTCACTACGCGGTATGTCATAACTTTACACCAGTTTACCACTGTGGGTCACAAAAATTAAATCCATCATATTACTGGCTTTAAATAAGGCCTGGGACATATTTGAGGGGGAAGTACACACGTAGCTCTTTTTAAACTCCCACCTTCTACACAAACTGTTAGTAAGAACGCTGCAGAAGGGACCAGAGTGAATTTAAAGGTCACCGTGAATCTGGGTCATTTGAAAAATGGTACCTCTTTTTCACGGACTTGGAGTCTGTCAATTTAGAAAAGGGATACAACAGAAGACTTGGAGATATTAATTAAGGCAAATTACTTCCCACACTATTAACACTTAATTTGTATAGGATCAATAGCACTTATAGCGGGGCTTTAAGGTGGGCATTAAAATGTTCATTAGCTCCAGCCTGAGGCTCAGAGAGACAGCTGTAGACCCTTAAAACGTAAGCTCCCAAGACAGGGTCCCCTTAGACTATCAGCTTCCAGACTGGCAGAACACTCCTCACCCCAACTGTTGTGGTTCTGGCACCGGCTGCACTAAGGCCCCATCAGGCGCTGGCAGTGAGGGCTCGGGCTGCCTCCGAAGGGCAGAGAGCTTGGCTGGCCCGACGGGAGCGAGGCGTGCAGAGGCCGTACCGTTTCCGAGTCTGCAGCCTTGCGAGGGAAATAACCCATGACGCTGCTTCTAGGTCTAGATGTTGATTCAAAGATACACATGATGAGTTTATGTGTTGACATGTGTCCCATGGATGTTACAGAAGGTCCAGGAATCTGCTCACCGTGAGGGAAGAAGGGAGAGAATACTGGGGAGGCAGGGAAAGGTAAATTAGGTCTTGAAAAACAGGGAGGATTTGCGGAGAGAGAGGTCGGCCCGCAGAGCTGGGTGAGCTGGGACACTGCTGGCATCTGTCTGGGGTGCCCCCAAGGCACACGAGGATCGCAGTATTGGAAGGTGCTACCATGCCTCAAGGGTAAGTTTTATCAACAAGAGCAATTTAATGTTAATTATCTGTCCTGGTAATAAATTGGGGGTTGGGGGGGGAGTCGCACTTCTCAGGCAACACTCTAGTTACTTACACCTCATTATTCCACAAAGAAACAGAGGCAACTTCTAGAATATGAAACATAAATTGCACAAAGGAACGGCTGAGGACAATGATAAGCCCTGCAGGGTCCATGAGTCAGAGGCGGAGGAGTGGATGTGGAGTTGACCTTTCTATTATTTGCAAGATTTTTCCAGTACTGGGTGAAAACAGAGCCAGAAAGATGCAACTCAGGAGAAGGCACAACGCGCAGGACAGACCCTGAGTGTTGAGGGGGCTGGCCTCGACCCACATGGCCCATGGGGGGTGAGGAATGCCACGTGGCTGTCCCTGCTGCTGTGGCCAAGAAAGGACGAGCACCAGAGTGAGGCCAGTCCAGTCGCAAGAGAGTGGCCTGCTCGCCAGCCTGCTGGTAACACACGTCATCTGAACCAGAGGGACCCCACATGCTTTGGGGGCTGGTTACTATCTCAAAGTTGTATTGATTGCATGTGGTGTGATGATGGGACTGGGGAGATGGGTAAAAGAGAGTCACCCTCATGGAGCTGGAACATCGCCTGCTGAGAGAGACCACAGATGCATGCCAGCTGGCGATGGGTGTGGAAGAGCGAACCTGGTGGGTGGGGAAGGTGCTGGGTGATTAAAGGCAGGCCTGTCCCAATGGTCATATCTGAGGACACACCCACAGGGTCTGAGGAGGACATGTGCTCAGGCACAGGAGACAGTGCAAAGGCCCTGAGGCAGAGAGGCAGGCTTGACACACCTGAGTAACTGCAAGACCACCAGCCCATAGGGTCTTCCGATGAAAATGAAGAACCCAGGATGAGGGTAAGAAAGGGTATTGTTACAGGGTAGGGAGAGAGGGGCACCACTGAACCCCAAAACTTGCCTGCTGTAAATAGGTTCCGCCGCATCAAGACAAAACATGTAAGACCTTTCATGGAAAGGAACTTTAATACAATGAGTATGCAATACAGAAAAGACAAAGGATATAGTTTCTAAATCAAACACCCAAAGTTGGCCCATCCCCTTGTGGGGCCAAAGTCCACCCAAAAGGGATTGGCCCGAAGCAAGGCCTGAAAGCTCGTCACAAGCCTAAAGCAACTTCTGGCCAGAACCCACAGAAAAGGGTCAGAAATGGCCAGACAAGTCTGGGAGGAAAAGAGCAAAATCAAAATCAAGATAAACATTGTCATAGTCACCTCCCCACAGGTCTCTCAGCCACATCTGTTTCAACCAGGGCCAGAAGCAAACACAGCTTCTTCACATGTCCCTGCTCCATGGGCCTCCCTCAGGTCTCCTCTGGCTCCCCACCCTGCTTCCTTCCTGCCCTCAGACTCCGCTCCAGATTCCTCTCTGCTCTGCTCAGCTCCACCCTCCTCCTGGGGGACAGAGAACTGGAATCTCCCCTTTTCCTGGGCCCACCCTGTCACAGTATTAGTGACAGTGTCCATTTTAAATTCAGAAACCACGCACCGCCTGCTGTGACCCATGTCGGAGTGGACCACAGAACACCGCCGGCATCATTCTGCTTGCAAGCCGGCGCTGCCCGTATTCAAGTCAGCCAGCCCGCCTACACCGCAGAGGCCAGCAGAACGAGAAAACGATGCCTATCGTTTCTGACACTTACATTTCCATAGCCAGTCCTACTTCTGCTTCCTAGTGAGCTCTTCAGTGTTCTGGACAGAAACCGCAACTGCGTGTAACTGACACGTGGCATCCCATCCCTCATCACAGTTCACCCGAACGCCACACCTTTCAACTTCACAGCATGTGAAGTTGTCACATGCTGTGACAGAGTCTACAGCAACCTAGTGTGGACACTTTAATGGCTCGGCCCAGCCACGGCATCCCTGGGGACGACACTGCCCGGGTTTCCCTACGGCAGGAGGAGGGACAGTGAAAGGGGGTCAAATTATTTAGACACAGGGAAGGGGAGGACAGGAACAGAAATGCCCTTCAGGGCGTAGACTGCCATCTTCTCACGGGTGTTCCCACTCAGTAACGGAACTCAGGGGGCTGAGGGCATTAGCATACCCAGAAAAAAAGTGTAAGTAGCCAGAAAGCCAGCCAATACTGTCTCCTGTTCTTGACAGATTTTGCCCCCAAGTGACAAAGTACCAATGACTGCTATGGGCCATCTCTGTGGAAAGGCCAGTGATACCATCCCCACCCTCATGCAATGAATCAGTGTATCCTGCTCTTCCACAGGAAAAGGAGAAAAACTGTTATGTGAAGTTAAAAGGGAACAATGACCTGTTCAGCCAGTAGGGAGGCCAGGCTGGAATAGGCATCTGCAAACTCCGGGCCATATTTTATGGCACCCCTCAGCAAGGCCACGGCCTCTTCTTGCTTCTCCTGGGACCTGGGGGCGACATGGGGAGGAAAGAACAACTTTCAGTGACACTTTGTTTAAATGCTCTGATCAGGCTTCAAAGCTTCATTTCTCTTAGCAAAGACGGACTGATTCATTCTGCATTTTACTGACATGAACCAGACTGGCTGCAGGTGCCACGGGCCCCCGAGTTCTCTCAAGATGATGACTCTATGGACAATTCATGCATTTTTCTATCTTCTGTATCTCTGCACCTTTTGAGTTTTATTTAGTATCCTGGAAGTTTGTTAAACAGGGTCTGTGAACCCCAGAGGAGCAGTTCTGGGTGTTAGTGGGCGGCACGGTGACCCACGTACTAGGGGCTGGGATAGGACCTGAAGCCCGAGCCACCTCCCACCTCCAGGAGTCGCCACCGACTTGCCTTTCTGTCTAGAGACACCCACCCCCTGCGGCTTTGTCTATGTCTATGAAATTGGAAACCCCGTGAGCATGGGCTGGCAAAGACCCAGCAGTTCCAACACAGGCTCACGCGTCTTCTCCACCTGAGTCTCGCGGGGGCACCACAGGAGTTCAGGAGAAGGTGGGCTCCGCTCCTCGGGAGCTCCAGCAGCCCTGGGCCCGGGCCCAGGAGCACCCTTCTCCACAGGCCCCTTATGCCTGTCTGAGCTGGGCGGTCTCAGGCCTCTGGGTAGAAGGACTCAGCCTGGTTATTATGTCCCTGACGCACAGGTAACTGGGACCGCAGCAAAAAGGAGCAGAATGGCCTCCCGGGGCAAATGGAGACAAGGAGAGAGGTGACAGGGCTGTCTGCTCTTCCCACAGGACTGGTCCGTCTGCCGTGGGGTGATGGGGGAGGGGTGGGTGGGTGGACACCACCGTGGCAAGAGGCTGCTGTGGCTAAGGAGCCCCGTCTGGACCACTTGCTAATAAAGTCTCCTGACTGATAAAACCCCCCGACATTCCGCCCAGGACCTTGTAGAAGCTGCAATTCCCTGGCAGGGTCCCTGGGGCCGGTGTCAGAGGAGACACATTCACTAGAAACTAGCTGTTGCCTGCAGTGCATGAATGCTGCCATGAAAGGCTAGTGGTTTCCCGGGCATCTTCCTCTGGCCCCACACAGGGGCCTGGCTTTCTTGTGTGCTAAGTGAAAACATTTGTATCAGCTTACTTCCCTGGCCGGATCTCAGTGACAGATACTTAGAAAAAGCAAATAAGACTTCACCACTTTTATTTTTTTTTAAGTAATTAAAGACCTGCTAAGTTTGTCAATTTAGAAAACTTGCTGGATTCCTGTCTAAAATTTCATGATACATGAGTTTAAATTCAAAGCAGATGCTTGCTTTGAGAAGCACTGACATTTCAGGAGAGCAAAAAATGCCAGTTCACAGCAATGAACGGCTTCTGACCCATCCACTTGGCAGGGGTGAACTTGTCCATTAGCAGGGTGTGAACATGGGGGGCTGGGCCCAGTCCTCGCAGCTGTCTGTTGGGGTGTTTTGCTGTTGTTGGATCCAAAAGATGACACCTATCTATCACGAGGAATTTAGGCTGACCCCTGGGTATAGGGGAGAGGGCTAGAACCCGTGCTCTTATGTAGAGCTGGGGCAAGAGGTGGTGAGGACCCCTCGGTGTCCCAGGACGCACGTAGGCTCAGGTGAAGGCCCCTGCACTGCAGGAGAGCCATCCTGGTGTAGCCTGGAGATGCTGCCATCTGCACCCCGTGCTTCAGCTCACGGCTGTCGTGCCCGGCTGAGACCTGACCTTCCTCCTCCTCCGGGACTGCAAGGCCCAAGAAGCACCATGGGTGTTCCGGGCTGGTCCCAACTCCTGGGCCTGGTGGGGAGTCAGCTCTTGCTCCTTCCACCAACCAATCAGATCCTGCCCACTTCTGCCAGCTGGTTCTCAGCACAGCAGCCTGGCTTTGGAAGAAACACAAGACTTCAAGTCCCTCCTGGTCCTTACTTCCATCTTGATTAAGAGAGGGGCCCCGAGTCAGGGTGCCCACTGGGGTAGCATCACCAGATCCCTGTTGCCTGCCAGTTTTCTTAATATATTAAAGATACAGCCACCCATAATTTCTCTTCTAGATACTGACCCAAAAAAAGGGGAAGAGTTCAAATCTATGGACAAGTAAGTATCCACAGGAAACAGATAAATCAATTGTATCATATTTACCCAGTGGCATACTATTCAGCAATAAAAAAGCAGCATGTAAAAGCATGGATAAGACCCAAAACGTCATGCTAAGCAAAAACATTCAGTCGTCAAAAAAAAAAAAAATACACTGAGAATGTATTTACTAAAGCTTGACAACAGGTGAAATTCTCAGTGTTGAAAATACCAGAGCATTGAGGATGGTGGGGAGGAGGGGAGACGTTTACTGAAAAGATGCAGGAGAGGTCTTTGGGGATGCCGGGCTGTTCTGTGTATTGTTTTGTGTTTCGTTGTTACACGAATCTATAAAATCATCAACATGTATTGCACCAAATACTTGAATTTTTTTGCATGTTAATTATGCTCAGAGTTTTAAAAAAGCCACATAAACCAGGTGACTTATGAGGTGCCTCATTAAGGGGACAAGACAGAAGAGGAAAGAGGGAGCCTGTAAACAGGTACGACATTTTGAGGCAGAAAAAGGGAAGGCGAAGATTCACCGTCAGTGAGGCACCATTCACAGCAACCTCACCTGGGTATGTGAGAACAATGGCCCCTGACAGGAAGGCAGGAGCCTCTGGGGCCACTGCCCCCCACTCTGCTCTTCTTACAATGCTGTTCTCAGGGTTCTCACTTCATTTCAGACTTTTGTCCTCCGATACCTGAGAGGCTGCAAGAAGGTCCAGGCAGGTGTTCTGACAGGTAGGCACAGCTCTGGAAGGGGGTGGCAGAGCGAGCTGGCACAGGCCTGTGGTCTCCACAAACACAAGCCCTCCTAACAGACCTTAAGCTTGAGTGTTGAACTGGGAGACGCTGTGATCTAAAAGTGGTCCAGGAGGCAGCGGCATGAGGAATACTGTGTTTGGAAAAGCCAAATGCAGGTAGTGGGCTGGGGGTTCCCTGGGCTGGGAGTTCCCTGGGCTGGGAGCCTAGTGAGGCAAGTCAGTGACAGTCAGGCAGGAGTAACCTCATATGCAGAACTGAAACAGGTCATAGAAATTCCAGCCGGGATTATAAGCAATGAATATAAACATCAGAGTAGAGAGATTCAATAGGGTGATGACTGTCAAGATCAAGGTTGAAGAGAAGACACCGTGAGCCCAGAGAAGGGCCAGCAGGGCCAGGTCACCCTCACGACCCCACCAAAGGGTCAGCAGCAAAGACAGAGGCGGGCAGGGGAGGATGGGCAGAGGTAAGAGGCTAAGGTGATGGTTAAGCACCACAGAAGGAAAGGCCAGCAGGACTGAGCCCACGGCCTATCACCGGGGAGAAACTGGGGGAGCCGAAGCCGGGGGTACAGCTGGGGGACCCAGGGAACAGAACAGCTGCTGACCTTGATGAAGATGGCACCAAGTTTGCAGAGCAGGAAGGCAGTTCCGGAGGATACCGGAGGAGGCTCACCTTGAGCGAGAACGTGCAGACTGAGAGGCAGCAGTGAGGAGGGAGTAGAGGTCATGGAGGTGATGGGGGAAGGAGACCGAGGGACAGACCTGAGTTGGATAAAGGTGAGGGGGAAACTGAGATGCAAGTGAGCCTGCTGGAGGCACGGGGACACCAATGGGTCACCACGGGGGTGGGGTTTCACACCAAGAGGTGTTTCTAGAATTTGCCCTCAGGAGCTGGAACGCTAATGTGGGAAGGAGCTCAAAAAGGTTTTCTTTACCCAATCATTTCACAGTTGGCTTCTCCGGGGGCTTCAGAAAACAGAACAAGTGCACACCTTCTCTCTCTAGGGCATCAACCTCTTTTTACGAGGCTGGTGTGGCCCTGGGGTAATTTGAAGCTTAAATTCCTGTCAGAGATAACATCAACCTTCTGTCTGCATCCATCCATTCTTCAGAAATTTGATTATCTAAGGGGTCAGGCCAGAGAAGACCAAATGTGTGCTGTTAGCAAAATCATTTCACTGTCACTCCATTAATGGCCGTTCTATTTTCGTTTCTCTGAGGTTTCAAGCACCCTGTCCTGTCTTCTGGCAGAAGGAGAGGTGTGACATCACTCCAGAAGAGGTGTTTTTCTGATTCTGTTTCAGTAACAAACACCAGCGATGACTTTACCCCAGCAGGCACAGGCATATTTTCCGAAATCCTGAATTTAAATATCTGACCATATTCTCTTGAGCCAAGAGAAACTCTACTCTGTCCATCCATAAAAAATTTACGCCAGTCTTGCCTATTTTATGTGTCAAACTCCAGGCCCGGCCAACGACAACGAATGTAAATTAAGAATGCTGGCGGGGAAGCTGCTCCTTCTCCATCTCTCACCCTGCAGACATGCACACAGCATGATAACAGACCAGCTTCAGGGTTCGGGAAAGGCCAGGCAGGGCCGAGTACACTGGGTAACACCCTAGGGAGCCCACTGCAGCTGGCGGGTCTGAGGCTGTGAGCCACGGTCACAAGGGTGTGAGCGTGCCAATCCCTGGGGCTGGGGTCCTCTGGCAGAACTGCATCTCATGAGGGCTCCGGCCTGAAAGAAGACCTCTCAGTCAAGGTCAAGGTCACTCACAAAGGTCATGCTAGTTCCATGAAGCCATCCTTAATGCCAGGGGGCTCTGGATATATGAACCATGACTGGTCTGTGAGCAGTGCGTCCGATCCCTCATCACAGTTCAGGCACCTGAACGCCACACCTTTCAAGGTGTCAAACTTGAGGTTGAAGACAACCACATGCTGTGACAGAGTCTACAGCAACCTAGTGTGGACACTTTAATGGCTCGGCCCAGCCACGGCATCCCTGGGGACGACACTGCCCTGGTTTCCCTACGGCAGGAGGAGGAACAGTGAAGAGGGGTCAAATTATTTAGACACAGGGAAGGGGAGGACAGGAACAGAAACGCTCTTAGGAGCTTCCTGTGACTCTGAACTCATGGTGCTGAGAGAACAGTCATGGCACCTTAGTGACTGAAACAGGAAGGCGGAGGGCACCCATTTCCTCAGGCCCACATGGCGTGACATGCATTTAAAGGGGCTCTGGCCTAGTTTTCTGCCACACCCACACAGCACAGAAGTCGCCACTGTAGGACAGCGCTCCTGGCAAGACCATCCTTCGGTGTCCAAGCCATTAAAGCGTCCCTGGAAACAACACTCATCTGTGTGGTTCCTGAGATCAGCACTGATGTTTTCAGCATGCTTTTCTCAGTGGAGAAGCGAACTCTTTATGACCAACTGCTACAGGGCAACCCAATGTGAATTGGGCTGCCTGATTATGGGTCCACACTTAAAGGGGTGCGCTTAAAGGGGTTTCTAAGATTCAACTTCAGGCACACACAAAAAGGGTAATAATGGGCTTATTTACAAGAGAGGGGGAAATAGTAACTCAGGGAAAGAGAGAGAGAATATGCATCCTACCAGTTCCGCTGACCTGGAACCCCAATAGCTGGTGAAAAGCCAAGAGACAAGCCACTAGCTAAGAGACCGAGAGACCCTCAAAGCCCACATGCCTGGTTTCGTACCAAAGCTGACTGCTTAACTCCACCCTCAGGCCCCAGCAATCCTCCCTTTGGTGATGCTGGGATTTGTAATTCCAGTGGGGCGGGGATGGAATCCGCAAAACCTGTATATGCAGAGCTCATACAGGGCATCCTTTCCGCCAACGTTTCTACTAACAAAAGCTGGAGAGGCCAAAGCAGCCCTCCTTCGGTGCTCAGCAGCATGAGGGGCCTGCAAGGCGGTGTGATGGCTGCACTAGGTCTCGCCCGATCTCCAGAGGGTAGGAGGCTCCACCCCGGCGCCAGGCGGCCTCCTGTCCCCTGTGCTCTTCCTGGGCCAGCACCCCCCAGAATTCACTCCTGCCACTCCTGCCCATGCTGCCGCCTGCCTTTCCTCCTGAAGCTTCTTGGTATTCACCTATTGTGGGTTCTGGCAATAAAGGAACAAGGTTCGGCATTTCCTGGGTTCCCGGCCACGCCCCCCTCCCGGTCTCAGCCTCACCAGACAACCCGGGAAATGGCCGACACACACTCCGGAAAACTCTCTCTGGATGGAGAAATGAATTCAGAGGCATGCTACATGCACCCAAGTGTGAGCCCCACTTCTATGCTCTGGGTAGAGAACATAAGCAGGGGGTTGGGGGGAGGAACAGGTTCAGGGGCCCAAGGCTGCCCCACTCACTTGAGCAGGTTCCCGAGGTTGAAAAGGGCCCGATGATGCTGGGGGTTGAGCTGCAGCGCCCGCCGGTAGTAGCTCTGGGCCTCGGCTGTGTCCCTCGTCAGCGTCCCCAGGTTGTTCAGGGCACTGGCATGGCGCGGGTACAGCCTGGAAGAGTGGAGATGTGAAGGCACAACAGTCCGGCAGCCTCCAAGTGGACCCAGTCCATCTCCCTGCCCCTCAGCCCCCGCCGCACCACTGGTCTGCTATGGCTGGCAGGAACCCAGTGCTGGCCTGCACCCAGGCACGTCCAAGCTACCTCAGGCCTCTAAGGAAGGCCCTGCCACTTGGCGTTCCGTGGGCCCCCAAATAGCATATATGGGTGACACAAGCTATGCAACCTCTATCGACTGACATATTCCAGATGGAGAATATGTACTCTGAAAAATCAGAATTTCCATGCTAACTTATGTTATGACCTCCCTTTTATGTAATATCAAAATATTCTAAGCAACCATCAGCTTGCAACTGGATTGCCTTAGCCTCATAAGGTGCTGCCTGGCTCAGGTGAGCAAGCGCTGCCCCAAGACAGGAAATTTCTCTAGAAAGCAAAAAATAATATTACAACTGGCTGATTAATAAAAGCAATTATTACATAATCAATATTGTAAGACAAGGCAGTATTAGAACATGCTAAAAAATAATTAAAGTTCTTTTACTGCCTGGACGAGAACCCAAATCTTATCACTCTACTCTCTTACTTAAACTCTTATTGCTCAGTCTTTAAATGAGGAATCTTACTATTTCCCTTAGTGATTTATCTACCAGAAAACTCCTCCAGCCTAGTCTTCGACTTTACTTTACCCTCTAGGATGTCTCAATGAGAATGAAGATCATTAAATAGCATTTAAAGTTTAAAGGGACTTTATTTTAGTCAATCATCACTGTGGTAAATATAACAATGTTAGCCTCAAATTTTATGAATTTATGTACCTATCCTAATTTTAATAGATGTTATAATCTCAGCTGAAGGACAATATGACCCGAAACTGTTCTTAGAAAAAAAGATTATTGTAATCTCTCAGCCCAGTTCATGTGCTGATGTCATCCCATTGCTTGCTCCTAATATATTAAATAAACTTCTGCTAAAGGCAGAACAGGAAGACTTGCACCCAACTCTGACTCCCGTTTCTTCCTCGAACCTGCTCCCCTTTCCTCCCCCTTTTTAGGAATCTCCTCTTGCTGACGCCACTCCCACCTTTGAGACCCTGCCTGTTCTGCCCCTCAACAACCCGTGATTGGGATGGTCCCCAACATATGGGTTACATCAGTCAGAGGACTTCGGTGTCTCTGATTACTTTCGATATCTTGGGTAGACAATCCCCTTTTACGGCCCTCCCTGGTGGCACAACAGGTTAAAGCACAGCACTAAGAAGCTAAAGCCAATTCCGCATGAGTTTTCAGTCCCTGCCTGCCCCGGAGGTGACCACATGGCGCGGCAGACCTCTCCTGACCCGCC